AGAAAGCAGTGGACAGGGACACGTTTTTTAAAATTAAATTCAAGACTTCAAGGCTTTTTTTAAACATTTGTAACAGAAATGATGGACTACCTCTGCCTCTTTAAATGAAAAGAAAAAAGAAAATTATCTGAAAACTCATAAGACACAGACAAAAAACTGTTTTTTACCAGTATTATTTACAAGTTCTTCTGCTTTTAAGACCCTTTAGGAGCCCTGGGGCTACTATTCCATCACTGAAAAACACACAATACATCTAAACCACTACACAACAGCAGCCTCCTCTTCAAACCCATGGGTACAACAGTCAGAGTCGTTTCCACCAGCGCTTTGTGAAGCTGAAAGGACCGCCGTGTAGCATTTTTTTACAGTTTGTCGATCCTCTCCCGTCTCCTTTTGTGCGTTTGAACGAGCCGAGCTGTAATTCTTCCCCCTCAAAGACCAGCTAATCTGCTATCAGTCTGAATCACAAAGGTGCAGTTAAAGTCTATCATATCTCATTATCCTGCCGCTTGATAGGTATCTCCCGCGCTGTCGAGTCGAAGTGAGAGGGCGGAGGTAAATGAGCCTAATACGTGAACCGCTGACTCTGTTTTTATCCGCTAATTTCTCCGGCCTCATAATGAGACATTACTGAGCGATGGAGCGATTTGAATTTAAATGATGTAATACTTGAGATAGGCCTAATTCAGCCATACATATTTAATCTGACGTATTACCGGGGCCCTCGGACGCTTGACGGGAGATGACAGCTTGGCCCGGGCACCGTGGGGCGACGCAGGGACAAAGAAAGGTGCGGCAGAATCCACTTGTGCGTTTAGATCGGTTGTGTGTGTGGGTTTCTAATTGCCGCTAAGATTTGTTTTGTATGCATGCGTGAGTCTGGCCTTTTCACAATTTTTCTTAAGCTTGAGTTTGGATTGAGAACTATGTTTGAACTTGCAAATTCCCCAAAAAAGGGTTATGGTTATTGTTTGTATATGTTAAGTACAGTGGTCACTCGTTTATGGCAGGGGTGATGTGTTCTAAATAATAATTGTAATTCTTGAAGGAGCAGCTCTGTTTTAAGGCTGGAAAACCCCCTCAACACACACTTTATACACTGCTGAAGTGAGAGAGACTAGAGTGAGACCAGAGAGAGACCAGAGAGAGACCAGAGATATCAAAGCTGTTGGTTGTAGGTCTGATGGCTGCTGCAGCTGTCAAAAGCCGTACATACACAGTAAAAAAAAAAAAAAAAAATGCAGAAGAGATTGTGCTAAGGGACAGGAGCAGGAATGAGGGCTATGGGGAGACCAGAGATAGACCAGAGAGCGAGACCCAAGACAGCAGAAAGATGGATCAGAGAGAGACCAGAGATAGACCTAGAGAGCGAGACCTGAGACAGCATATAGATAGACCAGAGAGAATCCAGAGAGCGAGACCCAAGACAGTAGAAAGATAGACCAGAGAGAGACCAGAGAGCAAGACCTGAGACACCAGAAAGATAGACCAGAGAGAGACCAGAGAGAGACCAGAAAGAGACCAGAGAGCGAGACCCGAGAGAGCAGAAAGATAGACCAGAGAGACCAGAGATAGACCAGAGAGAGACCAGAGAGCGAGACCCGAGACGGCAGAAAGATAGTCCAGAGAGAGACCAAAGAGTGAGTTAGTTTGTAAGTTAATTAGTTAAGATACTTTATTGATCCCCGTAGGTTAAATTCAGGTGTCCAGTAGAAGCAAAAACAACCTCCATCCAATCAAACAAAACAAGTGAATTGATCATTCTAAAAAGCTAACATTAAAATTAAGGAACAGCACTTCAGGACACAGCAGCAGAGGTGGAGTAGCCTCTGGGTGGAGCAGGACGGGTCAGAGCAGGACCAGAGAGAGACCAGAGAGAGACCAGAGAGACCAGAGAGAGACCAGAGAGAGACCAGAGAGAGAGAGAGACCAGAGAGAGACCAGAGAGACCAGAGAGATCAGAGAGAGACCAGAGAGAGACCAGAGAGAGACCAAAGAGAGACCAGAGAGACCAGAGAGAGACCAAAGAGAGACCAAAGAGAGACCAGAGAGACCAGAGAGATCAGGGAGAGAGACTCCTCTGAACGATTCACATTGGTGCATATAAGTCGACGTTATTTGAAAACATTTCTGAACAGCGGTCGTCCCGTTCCCTCTGGACCAATGGCTCCTATATGTTCGATATTATTGCATTTCCTGTGTTTCAAACCTTGTGTTGTTGAGACATCCACAACTTATTATAGTCCTCCGAGACGACTGCTGTTGTGATTTAGGGCGATACACAAATAAACTGAAATGAACATTGAATTTTAGTTAATAAAGTCATTTGAACTCTTCCGCTCTCGCACCTACAGATTACATTTGCTCCCTCCACCGCTCCCACAAACCACAAAATCCCCTCATTATCATGCACCATTTCCGCTCTCAGCATCTGAACCCGTCGCACACAACACAAAAACCTGGTGTTTACTCCAAAAAACGCGCGCTCACAGTCACTTTGCGGGCGCCATTACACAAAATATTTACTTATAATCACACTCGCAGCTGTCTCGCACACTGCCACCCCACCGCCCCACGCTGGCAGGTGCCTCTCCGCCTCACCTCGGCCTCCCTCGGAACCCATAACCGCCGCTGTATTTTGCCACGACGCGTAATTGAAGCGATGGGAGGCTAAGAAATTAGGGATCAGCTCAATTAAGCCATGCGCGGCGGCAGATGAGGACGCACCTGTGTGGCACGGAGCAGGGGCGTAAAACGGACAATTACCTCCGGGCGCCTGGGACGGCCCCTACCTGCGACCCACCCGGGGATAATGCTTAATTTCCGACCCGCCTGGCGCCCTCAGCTGCCGAACAGTTGGGGTTTTGTGGTGAGCTAGTGATAAAGAAGGTGCTCAGCTGTGCGCACGATAGTTGGACCTGTGTTGTGTGTTAGTGTTGAGTTGTGTAGAGTAGTGTTGGGCAAGTTACTCCAATATTGTGTTACGTTATGGGGCAACAGTGTCCTTAGGCAAGATACTTCACCCCCATTGCCGAGAATGAGTCTAGTTTGTGTGTTAATGGTTGGTTGTGGTCGGAGGGGCCAATGGCACAGACTAGTTTCCTAACTTCTGTCAGTGTGCCCCAGGGCAGCTGTGGCTACATCAGTGGTTCATCACCATCTTGTATGAGTGAATGAATAATGACATGTGCTATATAAAACGAATGCATTCTCATTTCCATTCTTATTAGGAAGCCAAGAACCCAAGAAGAATCCAAGAATCCAAACCCACTAACACCAGTGTGTGTGACAGTGTCATCCAACCAACTTCAGCTCCCCCAATAGTCATGCTTTACCTTGTTGTAAATTTCAGACCCTCTGGAATTCAGTCTTTTGTTTATTGTTTACTGGGGATCCCCATTAGCTTCCACCAATGTAATTGCTAATCTCCCTGGGGTCCCAATTAAAACAAGTGTATTATAACAAATAAAAATTATATTAATACGTTTCTTAATACAATACATGAATCGTTGAGTCTATTTTCTGATTCTCTATTTGATTGTGTTCAGTGCATCAATAAGGACGTATCAGAACCCCTTTTTAATTCCGGAAACCAGTCAATCCAGTTCAAGTACAGTTTTTAAATCCAGATTGTTGGCCTCAGGTCAAGTCTGATGAATGAAAGTGGCCTTCTAACTAAAAAGTTTGGACACCTCTGGCCTAGAGTGTCTGCTGCGGTTCTTCACGTTTTTATATTCATGTTGTTTGTCCATTAGAAATGAACCCACACATGACATTATAGACCGAATAGTTAGAAATTGTGTTGTTTGTTCTTATGACAGATTGTTAAAAAAAACAAATAAAACATGTATAAAAAAATTGAATATTTTTTATGGGTATTTGTATATTGCCCTAAATCAAAACAGCAGGCGTCTCGGTGGACTTTACAAAGTTGTGGATTCCCCAACAATAGATCTGAGAATCAAAGGAGATGCAATAATAACAAAGACATAGGAGCCATTTGTCCATAGGAAGCGGGATTGTTAATAAATGTTCACAAATTTCCTACTGTCCTTGAACCGTCCTGCATCGGCAAAAGAACCACTCAAAACCCCAGTGAGAAAAAAGTGTCCAAGTTTCACCTAAATGCGTCAAACTCGTAATTGTCAAAACAGGTAAAAGAGAAGGCCCTTGTTTTTATAATCGTCTGCATCCAATTCTACACATTCTTCTGTCCACTTTTCAATCCATAATTACCCTCCCACCCAAACCTTGCTCTCCATCACATCAAACACTGCCACACACTAATCTTAATCCTGAAATTCGGCGAGCGCGCAGCCGTCGGTCGCCTGTTCCCGGCGCAAACAAAACGCACGGAATCTTGTGGGCAACGTTGGCTGAAAACTGGAGAAAAAGTTGCCTAGCAGATGTCAGTTTCTGTGTGTGCTTTTCTGCTGCTTCTCGGCACCGTGCATGGATCTTATATCAAAGGAGGCTTATCTGAATAAAGTGCTTAAAAGCTTTTCAGGCGCCTGGTGATCTGAACACTTTTTGGCTTGATCTGCAGACTAAACAAACCGTAATGATGCAAGCTTGTGTAAAGACGTACACAGCGGCCGCACAACAAATGCAGGCGCTTGATGTTTTTATTAATGTTTTCAGTTTTTTTTTTTCGCGGTATTTGGGATGTCCGCGGGGCGATTGCTTATGTACTACCCAGCAGAGGTGCAACCAGAAAGGACCGGCTCAAGCTCATGCATTATAATAGAGAGAAATTCCTTATCCTGTCTCTGTCTTGGTCTTAGAAGCTCAAATTTCCCCCGGGATGGGTAAAGGGATTGCGTTATATTCCGCACAACATAATCAAAAATATTCAAATGTGCAGTTCAGGGGAAAATGACAACAATCCTGGAGGAAAGGTGTACTTTTCTAGTACGACATAAGAAGAAGTCGGGATTCCTGCCGCGGCAAAGTGAACGCGGCATTAACTTTTTAACACAGGCTGTTTTTAACAAGGCCTGATGCGCGTCCTCCCCAAACCTGCCAGTCTCTCTCTGCGCGTTAGAACTCACGGCGGCGTACGGCGGCGAGGCTGACGTGCAGAACGGCGGCGGAGCTGACGGAAGCCAATCAAAAGACCTGAATTCTATTTGTTTTGTTTCAAGGGAAGACGACAAAGGGCCTCAAGGTCTTCTTCAAGCCGTGTGTGAAGCGGCGCAGACGGAGCGGACCGGGCTTTGAAGAGGCCGTCCTTGGTGGGACCTTCACTCACAGAACCAGGTACACGGCGTTTAGGGAGGGCAGGGGGGCAGCTGTTTTCATGTGGCTGTGTAGTTGGGAGTTATTAATATTCTCAAAGACTGAATTTTCTCCCTAGGATTGAAATAATGGATCATACTTAAAAGGGGAAGAACTCATTTCAGGTTTAATACGGTAAGCCTGTTGGAACCAATTATTGGAGGTGCTTTGCCATTGTCATCTTGCATTTCTCCTTGAGGAGATTAACTGGCAACGCTGAAAAGGCCTCACAGTATCCGGGATTTTGCTCATTCCGAGAATGGAATACATTTCATGATTTGTGTGTGTGCACTCCACGTCTGTGAGCGTTCTAAGTTCCAGCGTGTTTCCTGTATTTGGCTTCATGTTCTACCTAATTATTGCAATTTGATCCTGACGCAGGAGTGGCCTAATCCTCTGCTGTACTGCAGAAATCCTGTTGAGAAACTTTGGTAATAAATTTGGCCTGTTTTAATAGAGACTGGGAGAGGAGCAGCGTGACAGCAGAAGGATGGCCTCCGCGGGAAGCTCCTCTTCCTCATAATCACAGCAAAGTGTGGAGAGGCGCTCACCAGTGGAGTTGGAGAAAGTTGGAAGTGGAACAAAAGTGTGCGCTGTACTTTCTTACATCACATCAATCGCATGTGAGCGGTGTCAGACTGCAGGCGGCTGCACGAGTCAAAGCAGGCCTCTCCCAAGACACCTCACCCTCCATGCTCAGTTATTATGTGAGTGTGTGTGGAGACGGAGTGAAGAGTGCGCCCGGGTCGTTGTGTGATACCTTTGTCTGAAAACGTCTACAATTTTTGGTCATTAAACCATGCATCATCTTTTGTGTTACTGTTTTACAACTGTCTGCACAGAGACAACATCTGCAGATGAGCTCTCCTGCTGTAACCTGCTACAACACTAATGTGGATTGGAACTGTCTCATGTCCTGGGTCTACAGCCTCATCAGTCCTGGGTCTACAGCCTCAGTCCTGGGTCTACAGCCTCAGTCCTGGGTCTGAAGCCTCAGTTCTAGATCTGCAGCCTAAGTCCTGGATCTACAGCCTCAGTCCTGGATCTACAGCCTCAGTCCTGGGTCTACAGCCTCAGTCCTGGGTCTACAGCCTCAGTCCTGGGTCTACAGCCTCAGTCCTGGGTCTAAAGCCTCAGTTCTAGATCTACAGCCTCAGTCCTGGATCTACAGCCTCAGTCCTGGATCTACAGCCTCAGTCCTGGGTCTACAGCCTCAGTCCTGGATCTACAGCCTCAGTCCTGGGTCTAGTCCTGAGTGGTTGAGGCTCAGGGATTGAACAGTGGATCCTGGACCTAGTCTCTGAACTTGTTGCTGTAGTTGTAGACTCTCCTATCACGTTTCTCTCACTCTCACTCTCTCTCTCTTTCTCTAGTCTCTCTCTCTCACTCTCTCCCTCTCTCTACTGTAGTCCCTCTATGGTCTCTCGCTCTCTCTCTCTCTACTCTAGACTCTCTATGGTCTCTCCCTCTCTCTCTATGGTCTCTCTCTCGCTCTCTCTACTCTAGTCTCTCTATGTTCTCTCTCTTTCTCTCTCTCTACTCTAGTCTCTCTATGGTCTCTCTCTCTCTATCTGTCTCTCTATGGTCTCTCCCACTCTCTCTTTCTAGTCTCACTATTGTCTCTCTGCCTCTCTACTCTAGTCTCTCCATGGTCTCTCTCTCGCTCTCACTACTCTAGTCTCTCTATACTCTCTCTCCGCTCTCTCTCTATATAGTCTCTCTATGGTATCTCTCTCGCTCTCTCTTGTCTAGTCTCTCTATGGTTTCTCTCTCTCTCTACTCTAGTCTATCTACGGTCTTTCTCCCTATCTCTCTCTCTAGTCTCTCTTTCTATGATGTCTCTCTCTCTCTACTCTAGTCTCTCTATGGTCTCTCTCTCTTTCTCTCTCCCTCTCTCTCTCTCTCTCTCTCTCTCTCTCCTCGTCAGGTGCTCGCACTCGTGTCTGAGCGCTGGGTTTGTCATGCGCGCAGCAGATGTTTACATGACAGAGACAGCGCTCACGTAGTTGATCACACTCTTCATCTTTTATCACATGAGGCCATTACGCGCCAACTAAACCTCCCCCCCTCCCTCACCCCTCCCTCACCCCTCTCCCGAGCACCATCCAGCACCATCGCGAGAGAGAGCGCTTCCGCCTCGGATCATTACTCCTCCAAGAAATTTAAGCGCAAGATGCAATTTCATTTTTTCTTTTTTTCTCCCCTTTCTCTCTCTCCCTCACCCTTTCTCTCTCCCCTCTCCTCTCTCTCTCTCTCTCTTGCTTTTTGTCGCCCAAATGCGGTCCGTCATTAGAAATCCTAGCTGTCATGCCTCTGCCATTTTTGGTGTGCGGTGTTTGTTGCCTCATTTCTTTTAATTTTATCTCCATTAGCTTAATTCTTTTTTAATATTTCCATCTAACGAACTTTACAGTCCATTTTGTCTCACTGTCTTTTCCTAAGCGAGTTTTATGAAGCAGGCAGCTGGCTTTCCCATTTGCGCACGCCGGCCCGAGCTGGGGAGGGGTAATCGAGGCGCGCCGACTGCTTTTGTCAGCTTGTTTTGGGAACCTTAGCTTGCGTTTCTGCTCCTTCGCTTTGATTATACAAGCAAACAGCGGTGTGGACTTCATTAACAATAAAACACAAGCTAATTACGCAAGAGACCCTTGGACAAACCGTTGCGGTCGTCCCTATCCGTGTGCCGTAGAGGGAGCAGTTAAACACCTAGATTCACCTCCATCTTTGCAAAAAAAACTCTTTATATTTCTCGAAGGAAGCGTAACACGGCCTGCACCATATGCGCCATCTTAACGTGGCTTGTTCCTTGTCCAGAAAACAGTCCATAAACACAAGGTGGGTTTTGAACTAGTCCCGATGGCCTCGCTTTCACCTAGAAACTGAGTGCGCCAGAGTTTTTTCGGTTTTTATGCGATGCGACCACTGTGCGACCACTGGGGGAGGTTTGTCCCGGCTCCAAAAAGTCCATAAGTCCCGTGCTGGTGGGGGTGTACCCGGAAAGAGAAATACCCAATGCTTTTGTATGACGTTTTCTTTCCTCTTCAAAACTTCTTGGTCCAAAAGTGGCTCTTGGTCCAAAAGTGGCTCTTGGTCTAAAAGTGGTTCTTGGTCCAAAAGTGGCCCCAAAAGTGGTTCTTGATCCAAAAGTGGCTCTTGGTCCAAAAGTCTCTCTTGGTCCAAAAGTCTCTCTTGGTCCAAAAGTGGCTCTTGGTCCAAAGCTTCATTCCAGTATATTTAGCTGCTGTGGACTTTTGAATGCACTCGTTTAAAAAATGGGACTAATGCATGTGCAAATGTATTTTTTCACATTGTCCTGCCCCGGCGCCATTTTGAAAAAGCCCACAGAAGGCAAAAGTGATGTCACATTAGTTTCAATGGTGAAGATGGTGTCATTATGTCTGTTAATATTTACAGTCTATGCATGTGACGGGAAAGTAAGTACTGTAGGTGAAGGTTATATAGATACAGTAGATCAATTGGGGTTTATTATGGTGTTTCCAGTAATCACCATTCGCTCAGGGAGCCTCCAACCGTAGGGTATACTGTAAATGAGGAGTGGACAGAGTGTGACATCACCAAAGTGTTGGCCTTAATGTGGAAGAAGCTGATTTGAACATAAGCTAGCTGGAGCCAATTTCCTTATACGGACGTTTGTTGCGAGTGCGTTACAGAGGCAGACATGTTGCTATGACAAGCTGGACCAACCCCGCAAATGAAGACATCTGGTTGGTCATCAGAATCAGAATCAGAATCATTTTTATTGCCACGTATGTAATGAACAAAAGTTACCACTTGGAAATTGTTTTGGCAGAGAGCGTGCCACTTCGCCATTTTACAAAGACAACATCACAACATAAACATAGAGGAATCCACAACTTTGAAAAGGCCTTAGAGAAGAAGCTGCTGTGATTTAGGGCTTTTTCTTGAGAACATTATCTTTAAAATGAGGTATAACATGTCCGTCTTAGCCATGTCAAGAGATAACTGTCAATTCTGCAGGTGAATCATAATAATTGAAAATAGGTTCAAGGCCTAGTGTTTGTGATCCATCCCCTCAGCAAGAAGCATCCATCGCATATTTCTCAGAGTCAGAAATGTTTTTATTGCCAGAAACAGGAAGTCACAAACAAGGAATTTGCTTTGGCTCATGCTGCGAACAAGTTTATAAAAGTAGAAAACATATAAAAAGGCAAGAATACAAAATTATACTTTTAATACATCTGGTGAAAAGCTGAACTTTTTTGGGTCAAAAAGCAAGAAGGTCCTGGGTTCGAATCCCGGTCGGAACAGGGCCTTTCTGAGTGGAGCTTGCATGTTCTCCCCGTGTCTGCGTAGGTTTCCTCCACGTGCTCCGGTTTTCCCTACGACTAAAAACATGCACAATAGGTATGAATGTAAATGAGAGTGAATGGATGGTGTTGATTGAGGGCTGATGGTCCGCTTCCGTCATCACCGTGTGTGGAATGATTGGAACAATATCTGAACTCTGAACATTGTAAAGCGCTTTGGGTGACCTTGGTCTGTAAAATGTGCTATATAAATAAACATTACTTACTTATCTACGTCTATACAAGAATACATTGAAATGCTTGCAGGTCAAATCCACGGATACTTTACCTCTGCAGCACCTGACGACATGTGACTAGTGAGTGAGCTGTTGATATAAATTGCATGTGAAGAAGTGGCCTTTGCGCCCGGAGGATCGGAGCTGCACCATTAGCCCCTCGGCCCCGCGGCCTTTTGTTCATGTGATTTGCTTAATTGCGCCATATCACTGTACAGATGAGACCCTGGCCCAGGTCCGCCCAGAGGGTAAGCTCCTGCATCTTTTTAAAGGCCACAGACTCTACTGGAGAGAGCCGGATTTGTGGGTTTTTCAAATCTACGAAACACAATTGAAATTTTTGGAAGCAATTATTTATGCGGTTTCCCTGTAGAGGAGGAATAATAGGCTGGATAATAGACTAGATATATCCTTTATTATTGCTTTAAAATCCACTGTAGATTAGATAAGTGGTTTTGCGCTGTGTTATGAGGGTCACAATGAGAATCTATATCATTCTATTATCCTTAATAATTGTTTGGGGAAATAGTTGCCGTTGAGAAAGAGGTTAAACTACATCTGGCAAATGATGTGAAGTGGTGCACTGAAAAAAAGGGGGCGAAATCAGCCGGTTCAGTCCTGCACCTGGATCTACAGTCTCAGTCCTGGATCTACAGCCTCAGTCCTGGATTTACAACCTTAGCCCTGGGTCTACAGCCTCAGTCCTGGATCTACAGCCTCAGTCCTGGATCTACAGTCTCAGTCCTGGATCTACAGCCTCAGTCCTGGATCTACAGCCTCAGTCCTGGATCTAACCTCAGTCCTGATCTGCAGCCTCAGTCCTGGATCTACAGCCTCAGTCCTGGATCTAACCTCAGTCCTGATCTGCAGCCTCAGTCCTGGGTCCACAACCTCAGTCCTGATCTGTAGCCTCAGTCCTGGATCTAACCTCAGTCCTGGATCTAAAGCCCCAGCTCTGGATCTACCATCTTTGAGAGTGAATCCCTTTCTTATAATAGGCCTTCAAGAGATTTTCTTTTTTGCCACTGTTTTCTTCTAAATATACACTATTTTTTGAGTTTTTGCCTTTAGAGTTTGATTGGTCAACATCTCATAATGCAAAAACATAGCAAGGCCACAATTATAAACCACATGATAACATAACAAATAATCATTAGATAAAAAAAGCCTTGTCGATGCAGCGTTGTCTATGACATTTATTCACAT